CCACTCCCACCCCCGCCGAAATGCCTATAGGATCAGTTTTGGGAAATGCACCAACTGATTCTAAAGTTCATGTAGAAAAGTTAAAATGTACAAACAGCCAGAAAAGTCCCAAAAGAGAAGAGTATTAGAAGAGAACTAGCACTACCAGACATCATAAAGTATCAACACAACACGGCACTAGCGCACAGATAGACGGCGAGTGCAGACACAGGGATGGTGGATGATGAGGGCCGCGTCTCAGTCAAGGAGGGAAACGACTACACAATGAATGGTGTACGAGCTACTAAACACCTGTCTGGAACAAATGGACTCACCCTGTACATCACAAACCAACAACAGTGCCTAACTGATCAAATATTTAAATGTAAATCATAAAGATATGAAAGTTCTAGAATAAGTGGGGCAAATTCCTTTTTATAGCCTTGGAGTACAGAAGCCCTTTCCAACCATGACTCAAAAAACAGACACCATTTCGAAAATGATATATTCAAGTAATTAAATATAAGAATCTTTCACAAAGCAAAAAAGACAAACTGGGGAAAAATATTTGCAACTCATATTACAAATAGAAGGCTAATCTCTTCAATATATAAAGGGCTCCTAAATTATAACAAAAAGACCAAAAATCCAATTTATTTTTAAAAATTGGTTATTAATGTATCACAGTAAAAGAAATGCAAGTGCCCTTAAATATAAAAATACATTACAATGTATTTGAAAAAATTAAAATTTTCTAGCATTTTTTATCTTTAAAAAATCCTACCACTTTGCCCTAGCCGGTTTGGCTCAGCGGATAGTGTCAGCCTGCGGACTGAAGGGTTCCCCGGGTTTGATTCTGGTCAAGGGCATGTCCTTGGTTGCTGGCTCCTCCCCAGCCCGGACCGCGTGCAGGAGGCAACCAATCGATGTGTTTCTCTCACATGGATGTTTCTCTGTCTTTCCCTCTCTCTTCCACTCTCTCTACAAATCAATGGGAAAATATCCTCGGCTGAGGATTAAAAAAAAAAATCCTACCACTTTGATCTAAGATCTGAAGAGGTCATGTCGGAAGAGAATTTCTTTTTAAAAAAGAACATTACTCTTTTTTTAAAAAATACATTTTATTGATTTTTTACAGAGAGGAAGGGAGAGAGACAGAGAGCCAAAAACATCGATGAGAGAGAAACATCGATCAGCCGCCTCCTGCACATCTCCCACTGGGGATGTGCCCGTAACCCAGGCACATGCCCCTGACCGGAATCGAACCTGGGACCCCTCAGTCCGCAGGCCGACACTCCATCCACCGAGCCAAACCGGTTTCGGCAGAACATTACTCTTAAAGTATAATGCAAACCAAAGATTTTATTTTATCGGACAGCATTATAAACATTTGTCTAATCTTTGTTCAAAATCAACAATAAAACCTGCATTTGTCCCCAAATTCTCATCTTAAAAACCTTTTTTCTTAGAAGAGCCCTAAATTTCTAAGTCTTGCGATTAAACATCTTTATATCAATGGTCAAATTTTATGTAACCAAAATTGATATAGTTGTGAACTGGTCTCCTCACCACCAATCTGCCCACTGCCACCTGCCCCTCCAGCCCCTGCTCTGGCCCAGGAGAGCCGCTCCCCTGCAGAGCACTCAGGGGCCGCACTGCCTCACAGCACCCCTGCCAGGGCCGGTTTCTGGAACATCAGCATGAACCAGGTGTCTCTTCTGGGGACTTAGACTCTAAGGCTGTTCTGTTCAAAGGCTCTTCCCTCCCAGACTCTAGGGGGCTTGGATTTCACGGGGACCATCTGGGAAGGCCTAGCCGACAGGATTATCTGCAGAGTCCCTTCCTCTCCTCCGCCCTCTCAGTCCTAGTGCCTTCCCACAGCGAACCTTGACCTTGCTCCCTCAACTTCTCTCAGGCTGCTGGCCCTCTGCCCATGCACTCATCCTATCTGCTTGTAAACTCCTAGTCAACCTTCAAAATTCAGCTCATACCACCTTTGCAAAACCTCCTTTCGCCACCTACTCTCACCAGGGAGGACTCACGGTCCCTCCTTTGTGATCCCGGAACTCTTCACAGGTATCTTTGTTACATCACAGCATTAACACCCCTCCGCCCAATCCACCCGGGAATCTTTCATTTACCACAGCCTCATCAGTATACGCGTAGGGAGCACATTAACGTCTGGTCGGCTCCATGAAAGACCCACAAATGTAACACCTCCACCATGCCATGGGACTGAGGAAATACTGCAGGAATCTAAGGTACATCCAATCTGTGCAATAAACAAGCACTTTTCCTTCTGTTCCTCTTGGATATTATGAACACATTTCTATCTTATAAGAACTTTGTTATTTCTGCTCATTAACCCATAAAACACACACACACACACATATTTAAAAACACACACACACACACAAAATATGGGAGCCCTGGCCAGTGTGTCCAATGGTTAGAGCATCAGCCCATGCACCAAAGAATCACAGGTTTGATTCCCAGTCAAGGGCATGTGCCTGGGTTGCAGGTTCAACTCTGGCCCTGGCCAGTGCATGTGAGGGGGGCAACCATTTGATGTCTCTGTCTCACATCAATGTTTCTCTCTCCTCCCCTCCCCCCCGTCTCTCTCTCCCCTCTCCCTTCCACTCCCTCTAGAAATCAATGGAAAAAACATCCTCAGATGAGGGTTAACAACAACACAAACAACTGAGGGCTCTTGAATATTGAAATAAATGAGCTGGAATCTATAGAATTGGGGATAAAATAGGTAATTCCTGGATCCAGTGCAAACAAGTCCAGACTGAAAGGGCCTAATGCTCCAAGTTTCACCAGAACAGCTGAGCTGGAGCATGTGTTTATCCTCTTCACACACATTTACTTTTCTCTTCTAATGGCGAAGATTTTCCTATGTGATTTCATAGCCCAGCTCTCCAAGACCTAATAGTCTTTTCCCAAACCATGCTTTATATATCAAAATTTCAAGTTAGGCCCTAGCCGGTTTGGCTCAATGGATAGAGCATCAGCCTGTGGACTGGAGGGTCTGGGCTTCAATTCCTATCAAGGGCACATGCCCAGGTTGTGGGCTCGATCCCCAGGAGGTGGCATGCAGGAGGCAGCCAATGATTCTCTCTCATCATTGATGTTTCTATCTCTCTCCCTCTCTCTTCCTCTCTGAAATCAATAAAATATTTTAAAAATATTTCAAGTTAGTAAGATATTCCCAACACTTCCACTGAGTGCTATTCCTACTGCTCCCTACTAACCAGCAGAGCGCCGCTCTCCTCAACCTGCCCATGGGCCTGCCACAGCACCCCGTGGGCTGTTCTCCACAGATAAGCCATTGAGTGTTACACAATCATTTGCTTCTGGAAGTTGGGGCTCTGGCCAGATCCAGGCCTCACAGGCTCACTCCCCACCAGAGCACAGAGCAGCCCCTTTAACACTCGGAAAGGCAGCATTCTTTATGAACTTGCTGCCAGAATGAATGACGGCAGGACACTATTCTGGGGCACTTTGCATCTCATGAATAAGCTCAACATGACGGGGAAGGGAGAGGAGGTGGAATGGCGGAGTTGGGAGGCTGAACACGGATTTTTGAAAGTTAAGAACACCCAGGAAACTTATGCAAAGATCACTAAAACATTACTTTTTAATTCTACTTTACAGTCTTTAGAAAACCCTGTATTTCCTAATCTTGGCAAAATTCATTTCCCCCCACCTTTATTATTCAACCAAAGCTAATTTCATTATAATCATGACAGATTAAAAAGCTTTCAAGATAATTAAGTCGGAATTGACCTGGACGGCACATATTTCCCTAAAGCAGCATCTAAAATTAAAGCTTTTTGGCATGTGACTGCTATTGTTATTCTAGCAAGATTGCCTTAGCTAAAAATACGTGAAGAATCTCCAACACAAATATCAGAGTATTGATTCTAGGAGCACTGTGTTTTGTTTATATAGTAATATCTTAGAAATCACAATATATCTTACAATTGACAGCATGTCACAATTTAATGAGTAGTGTTTTTTCCTTTCTTAATAGTACATGTAAAATAGACATGGAACCCAATAGGGTTAAGGATTAAGTGAACAAGGAAAACAATTACAGGAAAAAATAAGTTAATGTTTAATTTTCCTAAAAGATTAATGTGTTGAAAATAAAAGATTTGGTTAAGTGCAGTTAGAAACACAGATTTATACAATGTGCTGTAACAAGTATTTGATGACAAGACATCTTTGCTCAACTGTTCCCTCTGTCCTGCTCCTGCTCCTGCTCCTCCTCCTCCATCACCCCCAATGCCCACCTTTCAGAAGTGGTTCCTGACCCAATCCCCCCATCCTGACCCAGTCCCCCCATCCCGACCCAGTCCACCGATCCCGACCCCGTCCACCCATCCCGACCCAGTCCCCCCATCCTGACCCAGTCCCCCCATCCCGACCCAGTCCCCCCATCCTGACCCAGTCCCCCCATCCCGACCCAGTCCCCCCATCCTGACCCAGTCCACGCATCCTGACTCAGTCCACCCAACCCGACCCAGTCCACGCATCCCGACCCAGTCCACCGATCCCGACCCCGCCCACCCATCCTCAACCCGTCCACCCATCCTGACCCAGTCCACGCATCCTGACCCAGTCCACCCATCCCGACCCAGTCCACGCATCCCGACCCCGTCCACCCATCCCGACCCAGTCCCCCCATCCTGACCGAGTCGCCCCATCCTGACCCAGTCCCACCATCCTGACCCCCTCCACCCATCCCGACCCAGTCCCCCCATCCCGACCCAGTCCACCGATCCCGACCCGGTCCACCCAT